AAAATCCAGCCCCCTTATTTATTCATTTAGATGGGAGGCCCAAGCCGCCCTAGAGCCAAAACTCCTCCATAACCAGCCTCACTGTCCCTCTGCAACAGATGCCACTACTTTCTCCTTTAGCAGCGGTAGCCTACAGATCAGGAACTTGGATTCGGGAACAGTTTTGTGGCTGGAGACAAATCTCAGGTCCCGTTTCTTGCTGTCTGCAAAAATTCCCTAGGTTGGTTCTGCAGGGCCTTTCCAGGGTCTGTGAGGTCCAGGTCACAGGTCTGTGGCCCCAGGGTTGGTTTCACTCACACCTCCTTCTGCCTCCTGTGCACTGGTCCTCCTCATTCAGAAAGTTTGGGGGCATTTTCTACTCTGTGCAGGAAAGTTTAGAGGGCTTTCCAGGCCTTTTCTCAGCAGCTCCTCCTCCAGCAGGGCCTCAGAGAAAAATAACCAGGATCCAGTACATTTTCCTGGAACTTGACATGCTGCAATTTGGAAGAGTCAATACAATATACTGATGGGTGGGAGAATTTCCTGAACCTCTTGTTCGGCTGTGCTAGTGCACTAGCTGTGACTTTGTGGGCTGGCTAAGTCCCTGCCTGATTGCATGCTCCAGAGCTGTTGTTTTGAACTTGTTTTATTCCTTCCTCTTAGCAAAGTTAATACCCACTCATTATATAAATGTTAGATAATACAGGTAGGGTAGATGTAGTCTCTTTACCGGGCAACTTTAACTTTTCCCTTTTTAAATTTTTTTTAAAAATCTATGTATGTATTAATATGAGTAATTATGACAATACTAATAGGCCAAAACCTAACAGAGGCTGCTGAGCAGGGCAAGTGTAATCACTCATCCACAATCCCTTGCCTAAACCCCTAGGACCAGATGTGTTTGGGAATTCTTTTTCATTGTTTAGAAAGGCCAGCCAGTGCATGACCTAATTCTTCTAGTGGGGACAGGGGCAGCACCCCATAATCAAACACTTTAATGTTTTTGCAGTGAAAGAAAAATATTCACACGAAGTGGGATGAGTGAGGGCCATTGAGGTCAGGTTTGGCTGCAGAAAAAGCATGATTTCCTTTGCTCTTGCCGTTTGGGACAGTGGGCCTATGTGATTGCTGGTGTCAGCACTGGCACTGGGCGGGGGTTCAGGTTTTTGGCACTGCAGGAGAATGGACGCTGCCAGGTCATCGTGTGTCTTGCTCAGCAGATTTGTTCATGTTTCCCCAGGAACAGTGAGGATCGCATCTGTCCCAAATGCACAGGGGACAGTCTACAACCTGAGAGCTCCGGAAACCCTCTGACCCTAGAGAAGGTATGTTGGTGTGGCCAGGAAAGAGTATTTGCCCATTCTCTCTCAATTTTTTTTTTTCTGGAACTGAGGATTGAACTCAGGCCCTTGCACTTGCCAGGCAAGCACTTACTCTACTGAGCTATCTCCCCGGCCCCACCTTGCCCATTCTCTTGACTGGTCCAGCATGAGGCCAAGCAGACCCAGGTGGCCTGGTAAACACCTCCCTCCTTTGCCTTGGATCTATACTGAATTCACTTTACAGCAGTAAGAAGCCAGATGTTCACAGAGGTGAGACACTTTGTCCCGAACCACCCAGCTGCTCTGTGAAAGATTTAGGGTGAAATTCACCATTTGGACCAGGAATTCAAAAAATGTGATGTGTGGGCCAAATCCAGCCCACCACGTGGACTTTTGTACAGCCCTCAAGCTAAAAATTTATTTGAGGGCCAGTGAGATAACTCAGCAGACTAAGCACTTGCTTAGGCAAGTGCAGGGACCAGGTTAGATCCTTGGCACCACATGCCAAGCAGACCCACTCCTGGGTGCATTGAGCCCATCACCAAGACTGGGCTTGGTGGTGCATAGCTGTAATCCCAGCACCACAGAGGCTAAAACAGGAGGATCGCTATGAGTCTGAGCTGTGTAGGGAGAACCTGTAGCACATACATTTAAAAAAAAATTTTTTTTTTTTGTTTTGGCCTTTTTTTTTTTTTTTTTGCAGAACTGGGGATTGAACTCAGGCCCTTGTGCTTGCCAGGCAAGCGCTTATTCTACTGAGCCATCTCCCTGGCCCAAGACCTATTTTATTTTTTATTT